CCCCCCCCCCCTCTCCTCCTCCCCCTTTTGCTGTTCCAGTTCACTTCTCCCCTCTTCCTCTTTCCTCTCCCTTTTCTCTCTCTGCCTTCCTCTCTTCCCTGCCCTGCCTTTCTGGTAGTCGGCCTTTGGCTGCCTGTTGCTGAGCCCACTTATTCTCCCTTTGCATCTTCCCATCTTCTCCTTCCACATCCTGCCTTCCCTCCTCGCCCAAGGTACCCTTCCCCAATCTCCCCTCCCTCCTCCCTCCCCCCCCACTCCGGCTGCCCCCGCCGCTGCTTCGCCACCTGAGTTTAGTCAATGAACAAGTGGTGTACTGGCAGTTCCAGCAACAATTTTTTCTTTCCATCGTCCATTTTGGCTGCTGTCTATTGTTCTTCACCCGCCTTTCCTGCCTCTTAACTCCCCCCCGTGGATCCCTGCATCCACTTTCTCCTCGTGCCTGTCTTCTCAGTCCCTCCGGTTCTTCCACACCTGGAGCTCTCTTATTCCTTCTCTTCCTGTGGCTCTCCCTTCTCCTCAGATACAAATACAGATACAAAATAATCAGGTGATTCCAGACTCAACCAATATCTGACGAATGGCTCCGACACCGTACCAGTATTGGTCAGCCCGAGTACGAACTGGTAGATGCGAAAGGGATCGCTTGCCCACGCTGGTGCGATACCTAAAAACGAAGAAACTAAGACAGAAAAAACGAAAAGAAGACGAAAAGGAAGCACAAGAAAAGATGCTCACCAACGCCCGGAGGCAATGATGGCGCTGCTAGATCGTCTCCCAAGCTAACTGCAAGGTCGATCTCGCAGCTCCGTTGTACAGATACAAAATAATCAGGTGATTCCAGACTCAACCAATATCTGACGAATGGCTCCGACCCCGTACCAATATCTCCCTTCTCCTCCTCTATCTCTGCACGTCTCCTTTTCCAATTCCTCTTCTTCACCTCTTTTTGTCTATTTCCTCCGCTATTATTCCTCCTCCTCCTCACATTGTGCTTTCGTTACCCTCTGCTATGGCCCTTCCATCTCCCCGCTCTTCTCTAAAGTCACTCTTCTTCTCTCCTATCCCCACTTACCCATAACCAGTCCTCATTTTCCACTCCCCCTGATAGTCATACCCCTCCTCCCCTCCCTTCCCCCCTCTCTCCTTCCTCTTCCCGTTTCCCCCTCTCTGTCCCTTCTCGATACCCCTTGTTTTGCCCCTTACCTCTTCATTTCTTTATTTCTTTGGCTCATTTCTGACATCATGCAGCAATGTACGAAGCGGACTGCGTCCTTTTCTGTTTTGCAAGTTCCAGCTTTGTTGTGCGAATGGTGATGACTGCGATTTCTGCAGCCATGAATTCACTAGAGCGGAGGTTGTTAAATCTCCGAATAAACGTGTATTCGACTTGCACAACTAGTTTACTTAGATAATTTACGTTGCTATCAAATGACTGGATCAACAACAAGGAGTGCATGTTGAACACCTACAGTATTGATTTTTTTTTTTAAAACGAAAACTGAAATTCCTTTACATCTGTGATGTCAATTTGTATGTGCTGTGCAGGCTGCTGGAACAACGGTTACCAAAGAGAAAGTCCACGAAATGTTCTGCTTTCAGTGTGAACAAACAAAGGTACGTTCTCAAATTCAGTGTGAACAAACAAAGGTGCAAGTTTTCAATTCGCTCTGGAAAAGAGGAAAAAAAGTCCACGAAATGTTCTGCTTTCAGTGTGAACGAACAAAGCTGTTCTCAATTCGCTCTGGAAAAGGGAAAAAGTCCACGAAATGTTCTGCTTTCAGTGTGAAAAGTCCACGAAATGTTCTGCTTTCAGTGTGAACAGACAAAGGTGTAAGTTGTCAATTCGCTTTGGAAATTACAGTGGTTTGTTCGTCTTTCAATGCGAACAAAGTTCAACAAACAAAGGTTAAGTTCTCAGTTCGCTCTGGAAACGTGGAGTACTTGTCTCCTGTCCATTCAGGGGACCGTCCTTCCGGTTGATATTCCCCCTCCGGCGAGAGAATATAAAGGATTGCATTTAAGATACACACTACACAGTAGACTGACTACACAGTACACACTCCTGCTTTGATTTGTCCGCAGGTCCCTTCATAAATAGAAAATAGCGTTGATTACTACCCGAGTACTAGGCGAACATCAACTGTCCACTTGCCGTCTTCCCAAATTTTTCAGTCTTGGTAAAACCCACCCCTGACTGTTACTCTTTGTCTGCTATGCTGGCTCCTCGCATGGGCTGCACAGTTGTGCAAAGTACTTGTCATCTCGAGTCCCACTGTACCACCTTTTCAACCTCAGCCTGTTCCCCTCCTCTGTAACAGTTGTCACCCCCTTACTGTCGAAAAGGACCAAAAGCCACTCTCTCATGAAGGTCCTTCTTCAAGGATGCCTTTTCCAACCCAGGGTGCTCTGAACGTCTGGTTTTCTGCCGTCTGCTTCTCGTTTTCGTCTCCACTGATTGGATGAGGAAAACCCATGCTTGCGTCTTGTCTGTGTCTTCTCCACTACTAATTGGATGAGGGAAACCCACGCTTGCTTCTTGTCTGTGTCATCGCCGTCAATAGTTGGTGAACCATCTTCGTTCCCAGATGCTCCAGAGGGTGAACCTCCTGAGCATCAGATACCAGGTCTTCACTGACTATTGGCAAGGGAAGAAGAGAACATAGAAAAGAAAAGAAAGAGGTGGGCAAGAGCTGCTGTGTGACGTGGCATAGCAGCTACGTGACGAATGCAAACTTGCAAAGCTAATGGAGCGTCTCATCTTTTTGCCGAGTGCTCCTGTAGCTCACATCAACTCCTTCCCTTATCCTTCCCTTCTCTCTCCTCTCTCTTTCCCTTCTCCTCCTTCTCCTTCTCCTTCTTCTCCTTCTTCTTCTTCTTCTCCTTACGTTCTCCTTCTTCTTCTCCTTCCCTTCTCCTCGCTTGACTGTACATGTTTCTTGTGCAGAACAGCATGGCATTACACAATCATATGTGCACTGCTGAAGAAGGTGCCAAGTTGCAAGCCTAATGAAGGACGCCTTTCTCCGACTTTGTTCTCCGTTTTTCTTTTGTTTCTTTAGGCTTCAGCCTTTCTTGTCTTTCCTCCTTCATTTTTTTTTGTTTTCAATTGGGCATATTCAGTGTCTCACATTTAAGAGTCTCGAGGAGACTCTCGGGTGTACCTTCAGATCAAGGGTTCTTAAGCCTTGGTGGGATGAGGAATTTGGGTCTCCCGCCATCGGTAGGCGAGGGGAAGGTTAGGAACTACCGTCTTCCCCTGAATAGAACGTATGGTGTGTACGCCTGTACATGGGGCAACTTTCAGTCTAGGTACAGCGATAATGAGCAGACTACTCTTCCCCCAAAATTTTGCGGCAAGCGTATCTCCTTTATCAGCCAATCCGTATCACGTTTCACTATTGTTCGCTATTTGTTGCAGTGTTTCCAATTTCAATGTGTTTGCGCAAGTTTGGTTGCAGCCTTGCAGGATTGTTTTGCACAGTGGAGAAGAGGATGGGAGTCACAGACGGAGGGAAAAGTGTGAAGTGTGTAATATGGAATTGTTCTAAGATTTCCAGTGTGTGTGCGTGTGTGTGTATGTCGATGAAGGATGGCGTTGGGTGCACAACGGTTGGGGTATGCGGTAAAGACCCGAAGACAGCTGCGCTGCAGGACGTCCTTCTGCACTCCTTGAAAGGTGACCGCTTCTCAAGCGCAGTTTCCTCTCTTCTGTAGAATCTGTACCAAAAAACCTTGATTTATGTGTGTCATCCTTGAAAGCGCAGGGGCCATGCTAATCTTCTCTGTATCGTTCCAATTTTAACGGATGTCCCGAAGGACAGTGTACCACAAAACCTGGTATCCCAAAATTGTGAGAAAAAAGCGTGGGGGGGGGGGGCGCTAATGTGGGAACTTCTGGCTGCCTCAGGCTCAGAAGGCTGTTGTCGGTAGCGACAGGAATTGACGTTCATCAATTAATAATTTAATACGAGTGTTAGAGCAACAAAACCGGACGGGTCGTCAGCATCATCCACTCATTACATAGCAAGCAAGGTGAGAGATAGCAACGATGGACAGAAGGGACAGGACAAGAAATAGTGGCAGGAACAGACGAGACCAGGACAGAGCACGCAGAAGAGGAATGATGCAAGATAATTGTTGAAAAATCTACCGAACGGGTTTATGTGAAGAATTGCAGCGTTGTTGGCGAATGACCCCGGCCGGCTTTGGCTGGGCGACAACGACCAGCGGCTCCTTAGAAGGCTGGATAAGACAACTGTTTTCCGTAGGAACACACTCGTGCACAAAAATGCAGACAGGCAACTTCAGAAGGCTGGCCATTGTAAAGTCATGTGGCTCACGATGCTGATGGTGTGCTTTGCGTCGATCTTGCATGCATTGCATGCATATATCAGATCTTTTTTATAGCCAGGAATGTATATGGAGAGAGAGAGAGAGAGAGAGAGAGAGAGAGAGAGAGAGAGAAACAAAATGTTAAACGTTTGACAATGTTTTCTATACCCGTCTTGTTAAGGATTTGTACATGAATGAGACTGTTGATAAACAGATCACGAGTTTGAATCGTGGAAGATACAACAATAATGTTAGGGGCTACCACCTGTATCAGAAAAAAGAAGGAAAACAAAACGTGGTTCTATTTCGTACGAAGAATGCTGCAGGCCAACGATCCCTCTGAAGCTTGTGGAGGGCTCCCAGTCTCCCCTGTTGCACTTCCGGCAAAGATACTTGAGGAAGAAAATGTGCAATAACTGCAATATATGTTCTGCCACCGCATGTCACGTAATTGTGCCGTAGTCACACTGTTGAGGTCTGGTTTACGATACGGTCTTATAATATATAAAATAGTCTTGTGGATTGTGCTATATACTGTGGGATTTTGATTGAATATTTATAATTCCTTGATTACTGGTCCGCGTCTTTGCTTCGTTTCTGCTGTGTTTTCCATCACAGGTCTTTCCCAGTATGCAGTACGCGCAAAGGCAGAGGGCATTTCTGATCCAGAGATGGACAGGTAAAGAGCTCCAATTGAAAATTAACATTCTAGTCCCAAAGGGACTACATTCTGGTGCCAAGGGGACTACATTCTAGTCCCAAAGGGACTGGCTCAGTTGGTACACCCATGAACTCTTGACATTTGTGCGTAAGGTCGAGTCGAGATCTCAGTAGTAGTGGAATGGATTTCTTTATATTATATTTATATTAAAAAAGGAGATCGTAGTCGTCCCGGAATGCCACTTTGATGTCAGTGGAATGGATTTCTTTATATTTATATAAAATAAAAAGATCGTAGTCGTCCCGGAATGCCACTTCGATGTCCGAAAGTAGCTCAGCGTTATTCTGTTGGATGATCGTCGGTTGCATAACCCTGGCCTCGTCTTTTCCTGTGTGTGAGTTTTTGCACATCTGCTTCCGATAAGTCTGTGTATGCACTAAGGGCATCCATGCAAGATGGTTTTTTTTTTTAACTTGATTACTGGACGGTTTCATTGTCGGATATGTCCAGGGGTCATGCCTTAAATGCGGTCATCCTGACTTTTTCTATTGAGTCCCAGAGATAGCCTGGATACATTCATGATGGGCGTGCATTTTGTCTGGGAGAAGACGGTAGGAAGCAGTAGAGTCGGGTGCCACAATATATAACCGATCAGATCACACGCTTCAGGGAGGTTGTTGTGGAATGAAACGCAGACGCATTTGACACAAGGATCATTACACGCAGTATTATTTAGTATAGAAACGGGCATTAAAAGCACAGTCCATAGATATCCAGCCACTGGAGATGATTACTCAGTGCACCACACATCTTTCTCAGTCCATTTGACGCATGTCAGCAAGTTTATTATCATTGGAGCCCATGCTCGTTCCGCAGCCAAACGGAATCGAACTGGTGACCTCGGCTGTAACAGCCAGATAGATGCCTTTACCACTGCAGCGGCGACCCGGTGTTCAAAACTGAAGCCATACCGGTCGTGACATTCAGCCCAACCCAGCACCGCTGTGTCAAGGACGTACTCGTCAACACGCGATATCCATCATGAGATCCTCTGCAGTCGCCAGCATCCACCCTACGCCCGAGTCCCGGTGAGCCTCCCCTGGCTGGTTAACGGGGTCATAACACTGTCAGCAAGTTATCACTGAAGCCCATGCATAGATCGTTCCGCAGGCAAATGGAATCGAACCAGTGACCTCGGCTGT